CCGATTTTAGCACGCTTGTTGATCCACGTATGGCCTGCTGAACTCTAAACTTGCGGCCTCCATGTAACGTGTAGATACGTGTACACTAACTATACTACACTAACGTGTAGCTTCCCAGCTTCTCCATGAGTAAATGAAGAGCTTACCTGTTGAAAACGACTTCTAATCGTCTGCCATGTAATTCCTGTCACTTGAATGGAGGCTTTAAGTTTCCTCTTCACTAATCAGGAGGGCGTCCTTCAGTAAGAGAAATGCGTGGACATAAGCTATAGCATGTAGTTTTGAGATTATTAAACTTGCTAAAATTGTATCATTTTTACAGTGACAGTTCCTTGCCCAATTGTACGTCTACTTCAATTTGGATAGCCAACGAAGGTGTCTATGCGTATGATGTACAGACCAGAGAATTATTTCCTCTCTACTACTATCCGTTTGGAAAGGATCTCCAGATGTTGACCTAACTGTTAAGCTAAAATAAATTTGTAACGAGAAATCTTGTTCAGTTATCGTGCTGCACTTCGAAGAAGACGTCGTCTTCAAGTGCAGTTCTGCCATGTAGTCACACCCATCATAAAACTTTTCGAGATTCTACGGATTTTGTTCACCTCTGTGGTTAACAGTGAAATGTTTAGACTCTGGTACGATTCAGGGTAGTCTTAAAAAGCGGCACGAATCCATTTTGCATACTTGCTGAATCGATTGGCCCACTCCCATGAATAATCAAGTAAATCGACCACTGCTGACCCGTGTTGCATGAGTAGCGCGTTAAAGCATTCGGTGAGGATTAATCCATTGGTGAAAGTGTGAAATGTTCCATTTTATTACGCTCGCTGAGCAGATCGAATTCGTACTCTGCCAATACAATGACTTGTGGTGGGCGTTGGGCTAACCAAGTTTTCTATCCCACCGAGGTTAGCAAATTGCTATCAGACCTGTCTGGGGACAAAAAATTTGACGTGATATATCCGTAGGCAAGCGCAAGTTATTTTGCAAAACAAGTATGCATCCAATAACCTCTGCGATGCTTTATGAATTGAAATGCATGACGTACACCTCAGGGGACAAAACGAACGCTTTGCTAGCATGAGCCCTACTAAACTTGCACAAGCATATGTATATTCTTCAAGAAATCCTACATATAAATCGCACTTTCTCACAGATACAGAAGCTATGGCGGTAATTAAAAGTTGTGAGATCCTGCTTGAAGACAGTCTAGTCAAAAACACTCCTAGCCGTTTCCTCGAGAACGGCAACACGAGTGTCAACAACGCGGAGACACTAGCACAGCATCACTGTACCGACACGAGGTCGACTGCAATTGCTCATGCCATTTAGTTTTAAAAAGCATAAAATGCATTCTGCATTATATGGAGAATATTCTCTACGTCCTATTGCAATGTCTCTGAAATGTTCCTTACAGCCATTTTGTAACTGATTGGAAAGTGCTTCGCAATATCTTTATATGTTAGCAGCTTCAAACTTGAACAACCAGCAACTGAGAAGGGCTTTGTGATCGTTGATATTCTATGTTATTATCGCCAATGTTGAATCGTAAAAGAGAGTTCGGTTCCGGCAACCATCCAGACGAAAACTTTCTGAAGCATTCTTGCAATTGCGTCCATAACCTCAGTTGCTCCACCGAAAGGACAATAGCGCGTTCGTTTCCCATCGCAGACACCTGCGGTCCAGAGTTTTACAAATATCTCACCATCACTGAAGTTATACTAACATCCACGCCAAAAGAGCTGTTAGCCAAGGTGTTACCATTTTGCCAAAATTATTCACCGCCACCGTCGAGAACGTCTCGCTAACGTATGTGATGACACCGTCCTTATAGCACCAAATATTAGCCTTCACGAAAACCCTAGAAAAGGATATAATGTTCAACTAGTCTCTGAAGCGAACAGAACCTACTGGACTGTTTCTGCACGCGAGAGGGGATCTGGAAGGCTTACTGGGGTTCCCTCAAGTGATCCGACTATCAACATGACGACAAGTGATACCGGAGATACCACATAGGGCATCATTTAACCTGAAAAATAGCCAAATCAAGGTCCTTTACATGCAAAGAAGCCTAACACAACGAAATAATCCCAGGTTCCATCGCCCAACATATATTAGCAGTTGACCCCTCTGCTTCTTTAACAAATAGGTGCCTAAAATGTCAGATTCATAAACTTGAGAAACCTTATTGAAGTATAAATCCCCGCTTTACATCCCAATCCTACACCCAAGAAAACCCTCAAACCACGATGAGTTGGTGTGCAAAGGGAGAATAAAATAACTAGCTAAACTACTCTGAATACTGGCTATAAAGGCAACTGTGAGTTTTTCATTCAGCTTTTTTAAAATGAACTACTATGAAGGCAGTAATTTGAGATAGTGAAATTTTTCGTGAAACGACTGATTAGATTACGGATAGTTGCCGAATTTTACCTTTTTTCAACAGCTCTACGTTCGAGTTACCATTAACATCTCCATCTTCAGATCTATAACCATTTGTAGTCCAGCAGTTAGTACAAGCCCAGGCATCTAAAGGAGACCGAAAGCTGCTTTATAGAGCACTTCCATATTCAACGCCCAAAAGAAAAATCTTTGATTTGGCGAACCAACTCAACCTGTTATAGCTACCATAATACCTATTTAGTTCCCTTATATTACCGATCACATTTGATTACGATTTTATTTCGAAAAATTTGGACGAGGAGTTGGCTATCGTGCTTGTAGGCGATATTTTTCACACAGAAGAGAGGAAAGACAGAGAGGAGGGGATAGAATACAAGAGGAAAAAAAGAAAGGTAGAAAAATATAGATTCCAGTTGGTTCCAAGCTTGTTCGGCATTAAATCTTTTAAACAATCGAGTTTGAAGAAGGATAAGACGCTACTCCTGCCGCTTTCTTGCTTCGTGGTTCTCATTATCACTGGTACGTGTATTGTATGTGTCTGTACCATTGCCCTTTGTTCTGAGGAATTCTAATGGTGATTAATGCCTCATTTAGTCCTAAAACCATATATAAAGTCATTAATACTGTTATTTTTTAGGTTTTTTTCGCTCTAACAATCCTGGGGATACCGTAGATCTTCTTTTGGCTGCATTGCATCTACTATTATAAAGTTTTAAGAAAAAGTATTCTGTAGCAAACACCAACTCAGCACAAGATGTGATAAAATATCGCCAAAGTCTCTTCTTTCTAACTATTAATATTCAATCTGAAATTTTTTAAGCATCGCCAACCTTTGGTTCTTTTTTAAGTCACGAATTGTGAAAAACGACGCACTTTTTTGAATGAAATTGAACGAAAACTGTAGAGATAATCGTATAACCACTAGTACATGAGTTCATTCCCCAGTTCAATCAAATTTGAGAATGATGTAGAGTCCTCGAACTTGGGTAATTAGACAGTTCAGGGTCATTAGAAATGCTTCGTCGTATATAACCCATTGTTCTCTCATTCCGCGCACCAGGTTAACCCATAATACCTCCTCATTGCACTTTATTGTTTGCCTAACCACCTTGAAGCAATTTTCCGTGTGCTGCAGTCTTTCTGGTTATTTGACAATAAAGAACAATTTTCCAATAACTAGCGTGGCGCATGTGGCGCAGTGGCTGGAAGCGCCACTGCGACACGCACGTGGAATCGATCCCCGCGACTGTGGCCAATCAAGCCTTCCGTCCCTCCGGGGTCGGAAAATTGGCACCAGACTTGTCTGGTAGGATAACAGCATTGGCTCGATACATCGGCAGGCCACCGCGAGTCTTTCTAAAGGCCAGATTTGCATTCAATCACCTCTAAATGATGCTTAATGATGTCGAATGCGTGGCGTATCCTTCAGAGATTGATCAACGGCGAGAGCTTTATCCTTTTTCATTTAGCGCGCTCTAGGAGTTTTAAACACGACAGGATTATAAAAGCGACTTTGCTCTGTCCTTCTATAGGCTTGAATCTGTACGCCGCAATTTACCATGTGGTACTGTGGTCCATTATGCGAATGCACTACTGTCAGTATCTTGCTTCAAATGTCGAGTCGATTTCGGCTTTTTTCTATCCATACATTCAATACGATGGCCGTAATGATTAAAATAAAAGCACAGTTAATTGTCCGCTAAATTACCCATCACTGAACTCTTTTCAAAAGGATTTTGTGAATCATTAATCGTAGAGAATGGTTTTTCTGGATCGAATGAGAACATAGAGTGCGGTGAAAAAAAGCTCTGGAATCCAATAAACTCAATATGGACACTACGGTGTTCATATGGTCGTTTGGTCCAGTTCGCTATTGACGCTGTAGTGTCCATACGGGGCATTATGAGCTAACTAAGCTTCTAACCATCTCGACGTCGACAAAATCCTAAAAAGCTTCTCTGCTCGCGCCAGATACTACCTACTATTCACAAGAGATCGTCTTTGCAGGTATTGAAGATATAAGAACACCTTAGAAGGGCTATTTTAAAGCCACATGAGGAATCTGCTCGAATAAACTTCGAAGGCATTCACAGAGAAATCCCGTAGTTCCCAATAAGTAATCCGACCTATGGAAAACATGAAGAGCTTCGTGGAGTGATGAATGCTATGCAACGAATCCAATGTAAGGTGCTGGGATTCGCATAATGTGTAGTGTCGGATCATGTAAAAAGAAAAAAATATCTTCATATATCTGCTTTTCATAAAGTCATCACGCCTAAATATCCAATACAGAAGAAGTTTACAGTAGTCAAACAGAGTCGAAAACCGTTAAGACCCAAATGTTTCTTGCTGACTACGATTTCCCATTCAGCGACTTTAAGATTAACACCATTCAGCTTTTCTTTCGTCTGAATAGAGAGACAGAAAAAAGTCATTTTCAAAAAATTTATACAACTGCTTCGAATTCTAAAAAAAAGTACTCTGCAGCAGTGCTAGGTTTTTTAAGCTGCAGTAACCTCTCCGACATTAAGAAAACATTCAACACACTTCTTTCGCGTTGCTTGGATCTTTAGCACCCGTTAACGACTTCCCTGCTAAAACCTAAAAAAATTGATAATCGCTTTGTTAAGAACCAGATGTCTCAAAGAGTCTAGATTTACCTCAGCTCTAGAAGGCACATAACTTTTCCAGTTCAGTCCGACAAATAATGGATAGCTACAGGCACAAAGTGCATAGTAACACCTAAAAAGCTACTCTACGCAACACGGAAGCTCTGCAAACACACTAGAAGAGCACAAACAAACCTCAACAAAATCACACGAGTTGGTCTCTCCAAATAGTACCATGGAATAGTCATTGGAAAATTCGTCTCTCTAAGGAAAAATCATGTAAACGAAAGAGAACTGATGAGTGTATTAGAACCGGAAACTAATGCAAGTTTTCAACCTGTGTTTAAATCCGCTCTCTCTAGCTCAGAACAACTTTATTGGTCGAAATAGTAAACATCATAATCTACATAATTTTGCCAAAGATGCCAAAGAAATAACTTCATTTATCTCGGTTGCACAATAAACCTTTATAGAAGGTGATTACATCGTTGAAGTTTCTTTCTCCTTTCCACGCATTCCAAGTGTCCCTAGAGCCTTCAATGCAAATAAGTCGCCTCCGCATACTTCTGCCAATTGGCCAAAAATCTTGCGTAGCCGTCACTAGAGCATACATCTCTGCGAGGTTCCTCATCTTCAACGTTGAATCCTTCACAACGACATCCTTGATACCAACGCTGGCACTGTACGTTCGTCAACAGTTCCTTGGCCTAATGTTGTGTTGATGTTTCGTGCTGATTTCTCTGCAATACGTCTGAGTTTGAACTTATAGAAGACGGTTTATCACTCGCGAGTTCTGTTTTGACATCTGAAATCTTAGCTTTACAATTTGTAAAAAACACAATCTACATCATAATTCAATTATACGAAACAAAAGTGCACAGAATACTTGGATATCCCAGTGTGTTCTCCACTTTTCGGAGTTTTGCTGGTTTACCCCTTACGTTTCCTTGGAGTCTGGCCAAAGCCTGCTCCAGATCGTCACCACCACATGCCACCGTCCTTGTGGATGACCAGAGAGAGATTTGCCACCATGCGACTAGTTTGGTACCAGGACGGTGGTGACTCCTGGGATCGGTTTACCTTTAGCTGGATTCCCTAGTAAGAACGCCGGACTCGTCAGCATGGGAGACCCTGCCGGAGCGATGAATCCTCCGCTGTACATCGCAACTTGACACCCAGGAGCACCTCCCACCCACTACGAGGCGGTAGACCATTAGAAGGAAGTTCATAGTATAGTCTTTGCAATGACACGTAAGAATACAACATTCGAAGCAAGAAAAACTATTACTAAAACATATTACACGAAGAAATTAAAAGCCGTGCATTAGTAGTTCACGAACAACTTAAGAATGTACAGATATCAAAGGAAAAAGTACTGATAAAACACATAAAAGCAAAGCAAACTTGCTAATCTTTCACTGAGTTCCGAACAGAACGAATATTAAGGCCGGAATGCCTTTTGTGAGCGCTATCAACCAATACACAAAAGTTTAGTGTTCATTCAAATAAATCAAAAGAAAATGTAACATATAATAAAACAATTTGTATAACAGTTCCCTCACGAAGATTTAGAAAAGACAAAATTAACAGATGTTCAAGAAAATATCGTTTCAGGTTCGGCCTCCAATATTTTCTGGTCGAACAGATATCATTTCACCAGACCGTATCTTCTTTTGAATCATACGTTTTAGCTGAATACAAATGAATAAACATGAAGTAACAGGTATAAATCGGATGTCGCATATATCACAAAAAAAAGTGAATTGCAGAGCCTCACTGATCGTCTTTTTTTGACCGCGTGCTTTCTCCGAAGTCGTTCAGGGTTTAGCAAAGGTTTTAGAGTATCTCCTTTTTCCCATTCATCATGCACTGAAGCATAACTTTAAATAGTTCCCAGGATCGACTTTCTCTTAACCTCGGCATTGGAATATGAATGTGTCGTTCTCTTGTTCAGCAATCGCGAGGTTTTTAAACAGCATACATTTACTTCCATAAAAAACAATACAATACAACGCTAGCTGACGTCTCGGCAGTATCACCTTCTTCAGAGCCGCTTTTTTGTGACTTCCAATGAGGAAGTTTAGAACAGCTGATTATAGTCGCATGTGGTTGACGATCAGCTAGCGTTGTATTGTATTGCGTTTTTTATGGCTGTATATTTACTTTGCAGTTCGTATAACAGTCTGCTAATGTTCATATATACAACGGATTCACTTTTTGCTCGACAAGAGCTAATAAGATTTCATTCCTTTCGACGCTGTCAAACGTTTTCTTATAGTTGATAAAGGTTAGGGCAGTGGAAAGGTGGGACCCCTACAGTCTTCTTGTGACCCGCGACGCGGTTTGGATGTGGTCCATGCAGTAGAATACTTGTCGGAATCGTGCTTGCTCAACTGGTTGTACCTCATCCTAGGTCTTTGACACGCGTAAAAGTATAGCATTCGTGAACGACTTATTGAGTAAACTCCATATTGGTCAGTAGTTATGAAGATCCCTTGCGTCACCCTTTTAGGGTAAAATTGCAGTACAGGAGGATGCTCACCAGTATGGTATTTTCTCTTTCTCAAGGTAAGATGCCGTGTCATTTGCGAGAAACACATGGGATTTGAGGCCTCCAGAGCAATGGAAATCGGCGATGATATTGTCAGCTCCTGGAATTGTGAGAGTACAACCACGAAGGATTCTTCATCAGAAGGATTTCGGGGTCCCAGCCGGGGTTTGTGAAGCCGAAAAGGTTGTTATAGAACGTCTTCATCGTCAATTCCATACCATGGCGTGTGTAGTGTTAGTCCCACCTTCAGTAGAATACTGGCTGATGTTTCAGCGGTTTCGCTTTCTCCAGCACCGTTTCGTTTTTCACAAGCCCTTCAGTTGTGATTTTGGTGTAGCTGTAATAGATAGAGTTATATTTTCGTTTATCAAGGCAAATAGTGGAACATTATAGTTGCAAAATCCCGATGCCACTTATTCAGACTTGTCATTTTTGAGCTGCTTCCTATAACTTTTCGTGCCTATGCCAATGTAAATCCTTCTGCAAGGATCTCCCACAAATGGCATTTCCTACCAACCGTGTTAGATGTGCTGTAGAACGACGAAGCTTTAGTTTTTTCTCCTTTTCGAGCAAATTTTCGGTGGCGGTGGAGAAACGGTTTAAACTTCTTGTTAGAGCAAGTGTTCTTCGTGGTCGATCTTCTTGCTTGAGGAACAACAAGAATGAAGCAAATTCAGCACAACTTTTCAATCTATTGACAAGCAGCTTGTAGTTTCGGTCGGGTACTCCTTCGTCTGCGAATTACGTTTTGATGGGTCTTCGTTTAGAATGTTCTCGTCATATGGAACAAAACTTTTTTTTCGTCGTAAACAACATTAAATGTTCTCCAGCTTATGGCTGAATCGAATCTTCGCGCGAACTAGAGGGTGATCGCTACCAGTATAGAATGATAGGATTACAGATGTATGTGTCAAGTAGGCACCATCTCCTATTTGTCAGAATATTGTCGACCTCCAATACCGGCATCCACCACCGTCTTGGTATGAAAGTCGCATGGTGGTCGGAGTCGGAGCTGATTATAGTCGCATATGGTTGATGACTCGCATTGATGACTGGAAGAAGGCGATACTGGCGAAACGTCAGCTAGCGTTGTATTGTATTGTGTTTTTTATGGAAGTAAATGTACGCTGTTTAAAAACTTCGCGATTGCCGAACAAGAAAACGACACATTCATATAACTTTAAAATCAAGTAAGTATAGTACGACATATGAAAAGCGATTACGACTAAAACACCTGTTGGATAGTATACACTGGCACCTGTGTCTTCTTTCAATACTCGAATCTTTCCATTTCTTCTGACTGCTAACTGAAATCATTTTTTTAAATTGGTGCAAAACAACAAATAATGACACCATATCCCCCAAAGGTTTCCCGTGACCTGCCGCGTCCTTTGTTTACACCTGCTGTCAGTTTACCAAAAAGTATAGCCACTCCCAGTTCTGTATTGGAAAAGTTATGAGCTAATATGGTTTACGGAACCTTTCCCATCACCTTTATGTTCGTACTTGATCCTTCAAAATCTTGATAAGCTGGCTTTTTGACAATACTGCCATCTCTTTCCCAACAGTTAGTTTCTCATTTCACCTTTCTTCAATAGTTCGAAGAAATGATTAGATCCTCGTTGAAGAAAATATTCGAAAATATCCTTATACAAATACGTAATATTATATATACGTCACATATTAACGGCATTACATGGAAATCTAATTTAGTAACTTGGATGTTGAAATACCTTAAGCCCTTCGGGAAGAGTAGAGCACTCATCAGAAATTTGTTCGATACAACGTCTACGTTTTTTTGGTCGTTCCAGTTGAACTTCGGACGAGTTTCCTGAAGACATCAAACTAAACAACAAGAATAGTAGTGCGTCTTCAATGACCAATAACCGATCATTGGCCAAAAACGGGAAAACGGGAAAACTGGCAAAAGCCAAATGAGAATTTCACCGTCATCCATGTACACAGGAAGGGAAGGTGTTGATCCAACTGGCTGCACATAAATGCTTCGTATGTTAAGGAAACCACCAGGACACCAAGTTACAACACCACGAATTACCTGGAACAGATTACAAAACATAAAACAATACGTTCAAAACTGGGAATATGGTAATTTAAGGTTCAAGTAGGATATTTACACATTTTGTTTGATCCTGGTCTTCTTTCTTTGAGAACGAAAGTTATTTGAAAATTAAAACCTGCAATAACAAACTTACGCCTGCGATAGTCTTCATAAAAAGGTTGCATTTTCATTCGTTGTTTTCAATCATTTGCTCTGCTTTCATTTCATAAGGACATATCGCTCAATATGACGATGATAAAGGAATGCCCTAGTACGGTTATCAAGGCAACCCTCAATACAGCTGCACAATAGGTTATTACTTATTTCTATGACATCAGGCAGTACGAATGAAATGAAAGACAACGGAGCCAGAAATTAGAACTATTATAATTCGATTGCCAGAATCACCTAGTATAAAAAGCGATAAAAGTTACCTCATCAAAATTTGAACCGAGATCAGCTAAATGTTGCCCAAGATGACCAAAACATATATGTCTGAATAACAAACTTTCCAGGAGAATGTAAGAAAACATTATGCAAATTAAAACGTACATCCGTGTAGCATATCGTTGTAGCTTCAAAACTGTCGTCTTCACAGCTTGTTCTATTGTTGTCGCAAGTGGTTTTGAATACTTGAAATCCAAAGGTTCCCTAGAAATCAAGATAGTTGGAACAATTTACTTCTACTGCCAGATTAAGCACAGTGTGCTCGAATACGCGAATTACCATAAGGTCATAATCCGCAAATGTCACGCATGTCAAGGACCTCGAACTAGTTAGTCGCAAATCTAAGTGTTGCAGTGTAAGTGGAGAATAAAGAACTACACAATGATCAAAAGCGACCGAATGAGTTCCTTGAGAGCCTCTGGTTCTCTGTCGCGTAAGAACCAATTGTTTCTTTCATACATGCGCAGACAAAATAATATTGTGAACGTCGCTGTGTATGTATACCCGATATATTGATTTGTCTAGAACTCTGCATTTCTCTGCATTTAAATGACTGAGAAGCACACTGAAGTGCAGTTTCAAGTCGTCAGCAATAAATCAACTTCAAGCCTGGAAGGAATAAGCTACCAGTGAGTAATCCGAACTCATGTGGAAAAGCTGGTTGTCTGCCTGAAGTGTTTCTGGCAAAGATTGAAGTGGAGAAAATGTGGAGAAGTCGTGGAAACTTCATGCCTTTGGAGAATGTTAACAACACGATAGACGGTATCTACAACACACTATTATCTAGTGCTTGGGCTTAATCCAGTGGACTTAATAACGTTAGCCATGCAGGTAAAATACGATATTCATGTAGTGACCCAGAAAAGAACACCACTATACGACATTTATCACGCTAAAAAACAGCCCAAAAAAGAAGGCAGGAATACGCGGTGCACAGGCGATGAGTCAGTGTGAAACATTTGAACGGATATAACTCAAATTGGATATCTAGTGAATATACGGACCTAGCCACTATCGCATACTGTTGAACAGAAAGCCACCACAAAGGCGACAATTAAACATGACAGTTTCCTCGTACATTCTCGACGATTATCCTGTTACACATATCAAGGACATTGGATGAGGCGCGACCAGTTGAGCAAGCAGGATGCGGACAGGGATTTCGCATCGACAACGTCCAAACCGTATCCAAGGTCACTGAAGTTTGTCGGAAATACCACCTGTCTTTCGTTCTCACTTTTGTTGACTACGTTTGACAACGTCGTCCTATCACTGCTCGACGACGAAGGAGTTAACCCACCCTATATATGAACGCTAACTAAGTACTATCGAAATTTCAGCACAAATATACAGCTTTTCCAACGACGCCTTAACATTTTAATAGCTAGGACTCGACAAGGCGACATAGTATTGCCAAAGTCGTTTAGTGAAGCAATGAAGTGGACAATGAGTCACCCGATTGGGATGAGAAAGGCAAATGTGTTGATGGAAAATTCAAATCAAATCTTCGTCTCACGGATGAAATCGTTATCTTCTCAATGAATACCAATAAAGCGGGAAAAAAGATTTGATTACACATAAATCACAAGAAAATCCATGAACATTCATGAAAAAAACCGATGGCGCGAAGGTGTACAGATCAAACTGGATGGTTCTAAAGAAACCACCTCGTACATATACCGTGAGCGTTCAAAGAGTATGGTGAGCAATATGAAGGAAAAATTACATAGAAGAGCAGCATAGGCCGCGCCCAGGCCTCTTCAAGCAACCACCGACCAACTAAGGGAGCCGAAAATCCGCTCTCACCTTTTCGATTCAACAGTTCTCCCAGCGACCTACTGTGTACAGAGATGTGGGCTTATACTTCAACAACGTCAAGAATACTGCATAGTGCGCACGGAGCGCTTAAACGATGTATTCTAACCTGTAACCGGCAAACACAACATCTAGTCTAAATGCGAAGTTCTAACCTTTGGAATCTACCTCATCTTCGAGATCCAGTAGAACACACATTGACAACGAAATATAGATAGAATGGTCATATAATGAGAAGAACAGATAACACCCGCACGAAAATAACTGTAGAGTGAACTCCATGAAAATTCAGGCGCCTTCTAGGAAGAGCATTTACATGTTGCGCGGACGTCTTGGTAATTAAATCCAAACAGCTGCACTCGCAGCTGCAGTTGTTTTACCGATCACGGTTTGAGGCTCAGACCCTCCGTCATGCACGAGTCAAACCACTACAGTGGACGACTATTGCGAGGCAAGGAAAGGTATCGGAAATGTGCTGAGGTGCGCACTACGCGTGAAGACAGGTCGTCCAGGTATTAAAGTAAGTAAGTTTCCTTGCACACACGTGAATAATAAAATTATGACGATCAACAATTCACTAAATTTGAGTTAATACACAGAAACCGCGTTGGTTTTTAACCACTTACATAAAATGTGCATGCCTCTGCGATGCATTCTAGTACACCACCGTAAGCTACTGAACCAAAAAAAAACTGTTAAAAACGAATTTTAACTTGTTATTTACCCTACTCCTTTTAACGGCAAGGTATACATGTTACGAAATATAATTTTAATGATGCTGAGATATTTGCATAACTCCCGACCGCAGGTGTCTGCGGTGGGGAACGAACGCGTTATTGTCCTTTCCGGGTAGTAACGCGTTCACCATCACAGCATGCGGGTCCTTCGTTCCGCCTGTCTCTCAGTTAGTTCTATTGATCTTTTGCCATCAGCAATCACAAGTCTGGGGGATTGATCTGGGAATCCCAAATCGACAATGAACCCAATTAAGCTGAGACTGCAGTTATAATCACAATTTTAACTTATTATGTACTGTCTACTCATCCATCCCGATGACGGGTGACTGCTGATGGCAAAAGATCAATAGAACTAGTTGAGAGACAGGCGAAACGAAGCACCCGCATGTGGTGGCGAACGCGTCACACCCCGGAAAGGACAATAGCGCGTTCGTTCCCCACCACAGATACCTGCGGTCCGGAGTTTTGCAAATATCTCAGCATCGTTAACGTTAAAAACAAAGTTTCATTTCGACGAAATAGCAAGATCTACATCTTACCAGTAAAGAATTATACTTAAGGGTTTCTGTTTCAAATAACTCACCTCGCTGTGCGCTTAAATTAAAAGACTAAAACATTCTTTGCCATATAAGAGCCATACAGTATCCAAATAATCGAAAACGAGTCAAACTTGAAAAGTTAAAATATTTTTGGCAACATACTTCGAGCCGGTATAGGTGTTTGAAGTGACAAAAGAAAAGAGTAACTTCGCGACTTAACATCCTAAGCTTTTAAACTATTTGTTTCAGCATCCATGTAGCACGTGTCATAGTAGGTTTACTTCAATTTACCAGTTCCTGTTGCAAACGTTGCACTCCTTCTAGTACAAAGTGAGCTCAAATGACTCTATTAAAGCGTCATGCGAAAAATCAGTGAACAAGTCAACACATTGTAGGCACATCATCTTTGCTTCCTTTTCGATTTCGAGCACCAGTAATGAACTAAATGCAACGAATAATAGCTTCTGTGGTACTTTCGAAGATCAGACTTCAAGTGATCCACGAGCAGACGACGATCATAAGCGAATCTGTTCTTAATAGGCAATTCACAGCCGCCGGAATGAACATATCCGAATGCTTCAGCTATCTCTCTGTCATATGTGGATCGTACTTTGTTTTTTGATGAGGAACGAGAATGATACTATCGAAATAATACACTACACGACAATATGTATTCTTTCTTGATAAGCTTGCACGAGGTTGATAAATATATTTATTTTCGGCTAACGTTTCGACGTCTTCGTCTTCCTCAGAGCCGATGATCCGAGTCGATGATCCACGATTGTTGTTCGCCTCGACGTTGCGGCTTCGCCTTCGTGTCGAGCCAGGTCTTCCGCAATGAGACATCTTCTCGAATGAGGCATCTTCACTCAGTGATGCCCTTTTATACACGATGCTGATGGTGGATATATTATGATAATGTGCGGTGGTAACTACACTTTGTGCTAGCTGATAAAAACACCGATTTCTGCACGATGTGCGCAATGATGTATGCCCGGAAGAAACACAAGTTGTTACCACCGGACATTATCATTATATATCCACCATCAGCATCGTGTATAAAAGGGAATCACTGAGTGAGGATGTCTCATTCGAGAAGATGGCTCACTAAGGAAGACCTGGCTCGACACGAAGGCGAAGCTGCAAAGTCGAAACGTTAGCCGAAAATAAATATATTTATCAACCTCGTGCAGGCTTATCAAGAAAGAATACATATTGATTAGTCACACTGAGGTTTAGAGAAAGTCGGTTTCGAAACACTACACGACTTCAAAACGAAGCAGAAGGCAGCCGAGATATCAAGGATATACAGGACAACGAATAGTGAAAACGACAAACACCAGACACCCACGCTTTAACACGTGTATCCTGCAAATGTGGACACTGCAAAAGTTCGACAATAATACATTAACGTTATCAAACGTATTGCCGAAAAAGGAGCCGGTGGTTGGAGGCTCCTGCAATACACATGAGATCTATCAGCGTGCCCGAAACTCACCTAGCCTCAGGGGTCGGCATATTGGTACCAGACTTGTCTGGGAGGATAGCAGCACTGGCTCGATACATCGGTAGGCCACTGCGAATCATTGTAAAGACCAGATATGCATTCAATCACCTCCAACTATGCTTAATGAAATCGAATGTATGGCGCATCTCTCAGGGATTGATCAAATCGAGTTGAAGAACCAGAGATACCGATCCAAATAGATAATAGAAAGTCAAAAGGAGTAGTACTCCATAAATCGCAACAGTAAAAATGATTGAGTTCGACATGAGGTGTGTTAATGACGAACGCAACCCAACAGCAATCTAATCTGAAGACAAATGACACATGTGTGATAGACGAAGAGATCAATCATATTGATATCAGTAAAATTACGCATAAAATAAAACTATAAGATTTTAAAAAAGACCCACTTATGAACTTTGTAGAAATCCTTGCCTAAAAAAGAGCGAACCGCCTTCCCAACGCGAACATCCACCAAAAATATATCATACATTGTTGCTAAAGCACGACGTTGTGAAAATGAACGATATTCTCTCTCCAACTGACGTTTTGTCATAATCTAAAGGAAGCAGCAAATTAACTGGAGACTGCCATGGTATAAAATCAAAAACAAAAACCTTTCCATAGTGCTGATCAGTTAAACCGTGATCCTTTTCAATTTTTTCTGCCCATTGACGAGCTTGTTTATCCACATCAGGATCTTTCTAAAACAGCGTATAACCGAGGAAAAAAACCGTGCATTAAACGTTTTGGAGAACTTCTTGTAACGCTGCCTTAAACCTTTGACTAAAAAGAAAGCTCCGTCGATTTTAACACGGATTTTGGCTTCTCACTTACCCAAAACACAAGAAACAGCAAAAAGAAGTAACTGCCAAACTTAAAACAAATAATCATCTAACATGCTAAATACTATACAGATCCTCACCCTAGCCGATGCTGATTGATCCAGATCTGGCATGATTATGCAAACCGACGTGTTTTCTGGTGTGCGATGGGGCGATGGTAGCAGACTTAACACAAAGAGATCAAACATTAATAAAATCGAAACTCAAAAAACAATAAAACGTAGAAAGGAAACAGCAACACGCACATTTTTAGCCGTGCCCTATTGGTAGTCAACGCCGGCTTCTTGTATACGACAGTTAACCCAACGGCTTGATCAATTTCAGGAAAAAGAGATTTTCCGCTGTGCTCAGCAAAATAGTTCTTCAAAACTCTGAGTGCATGACGAGCCTAATATTACGTAAATAAATATGGCATTAAAGAAAAACCCGACTCATTTCAGCTACCCACGATCCTGTGAACACTGCAATGAAAAATATGACGAACTTAGAAATTTGACATGTAAAAGATTTCGTCGCTTTATCCCGGCCAATCAGAGAAGCTGGATACCTTAGAGAATAGGATGCTAAACAAAATCAGGCACATTCAAGTACTTAACACAGAGCATTCACTGAACGGCCGTTTGGACCAATATGACAAAAATGCTTAAAGTTTAAATCGCACCATGAACTACATGAAAATGCTTTTTCCCAGTTATAGAAAGAAAACAGGAAACATAACTCCAACGACAATAAACTTGTACAACTAATATCCTTAAACTGCAAACTTCTCAACAGGCTCTCTGCCATTAGACATGCTAAGGTAAACAGCAAATGGTAATCAATTTTAATTGCGTGAGATATCAACTACACTGACTAAAGATGATATAAATGATGGTGCACCATGAAAACTACCTGTTTACAATTAAAACGCAAAAGTCATTTCCAAAGCTTTAATTTCTCTATCACCTAGTTGGATACTCGGATGATCCATCTTCACTGGTTGCGCGGGTCCCAGCATAATTTTAATTTTTTCAGAGTTTTGCTGGTTTACCCACTGTGATTTCCTGGAGACTCAAGGTCAACCTAGCTAAAGTCTGCCCCAGGTCGTCACCATCACAGGGAGTCGCCGCCCTTGTCGATCAGAGAGAGATTTGCCACCATACGACTAGTTTGACACTAGGAAGATGGGATATCCTGGTATTTAAAAGTTCTCTATTCCTTTTCTGAATTCCTTTCTCAAAACAAATGACAAAATAGCACAGTAAGAAACAAATAAAAGTGCCATAGAGACTCATATGACCACATTTCCTCGGTAAACCGCAGTTGTAGGTTGTCTTCTATGCCCAGCACCACAAGACAATGCTTTTTGTAAGACAACTGTCCTATAACTGGAATATTAGTTCGTCAAGAAAAACCCACATACGGCAGGAATAGAGATCGCAGACAAATTTATCTATTAGCGTGTTCCTTTCAGGATATTTTTGAATAACCAAATGAAAAAAGACCGCCATTCCTCACTAAAACCTCTAACAAAGAACTACACCTAGGCACCGTATACACATCGAAAAAGCCGCAGTTCAATGAAAAACTGCGAGTACACATTGGAAATCAAAGAAGAGTTACGCACACATTCTAGTATCGAGAGGATGACAATCGTTTCGACCACAGCAACTTCTCTCTATATACAATGTGGTTCTACTGCTTCAAATTCTCTGTTTGCTTCTTCAAGATGTTCGCAGCTAGAATCACTTCACTGTATCAACTGAATCCAACCCTTACCTCCGTGAAAGTCATCACGTCGTAATACTTCACTTATGTTCACAGACGCGAAGTCAATTGTTCGAACATTTCCCAAAGCCAACTGTAGCTTCTTTCAGAAGAAATTAAATTGATGATTAAGATTCATTACCTTAACCTTTTTATTTACTGCCTATTCTTTTTAACGGCATGGTATTTTGCGAAATACAACTACTATAATGCTGAGATATCTGCAAAACTCCGGACCGCAGATGCTTGCGGTGGGAACGAACGCGCTATTATTCTTACCGGGGAGTAACACGTTCACCACCTCACCATGCGGGCCCTTCGTTTCACCTGTCTCAGATTCATTGTTTTCTTCATGAGCAAATACGAGGTTGTTATTACATCATTTATTCATTTAGAAAAGGTGATGTTCCGGCGGCTTCGCCTTCCTCGGGGCCTGGGAGAACCAAGTTGATAAAATAAAGGATAAAGCTCTCGGCGTTGATCACCATACATTCGACTTTATTAAAAAATCGTTGAAGGTGAAGAATCGCGGTGGCCTATCGATGTATCGAATCAACCGCGGAAGTATGGTCTTGGTGGGCTTTGGACGCGGGAATCGATCCTATGTGCATTGGAGGGCACGAATGCGCTATATGGGCCAAAATTGATAGGCAACACAATCCATTCAGTCAAACACTTTCATGAAGTCATCAGATAAAACTTAATACAGTAACTTTGTTCGTATTTCTTTGAGCAAACGCGAGGTGTTATTGTTCTTTGTTCACGATTAAGCTGACGTTTCGGCGAATTTCGCCTTCTTCAGAGCCTGGAAAGGTCAAGTTGATAGCAACTCACTCGGCCAGACGCCTCCATAACCAAACAAAGAAACTCCAAACCAAGATTTCAATCACTTTGAACACAGCTTCGCACACTCACCGCTTTCTATGAGGTTTCCACCAAGTATGTCACGTAGAGACCAACCGCACAGAAATCACGTGGAAGTATAATGTGCCCCTCACATCAGAAAAGCAGTTTTATATACTGCCCT